TAATATCTATGAAGAAATACCTTGCACTATTTTTTAGTAAATAAAAAAAAATATTTTAGAAACTAAGCTATCAATTAAGGAAAACTACCTTATAAAATAAAATAAAGAGAGCTTTAGTTATGTTGCGTCAGCGAGTCACATGACTACAGTGACGCCACGTTTCTAGAACTATCCTGTACTTTGGCGAATGCTCTAGTATTTACTAGATATAGGGTAGTCGGGTATATATAAGAGGGGGACAACGTGACGCGGTAATGTGTGTATAGACAGTGAGTAATTGAACTGCAGTCAGAGAGCACGAGAGACGTTACAGCGGTTGTTTAGCGCGATTGTTGAAGTTGAGTGTATCGGTAAAGTTGTATTCGGAAAGAATAAACCAGTTTTATTAAGTAAAGAACTTGTGTCGCTAAAGTTTCGTCGGAACGAAGTTACGGAAAGTTAATTAACAAACGGAGACGTAACAGTTACTTTGATTTATAGGTAGCTAATAATAATCTGTTAGATAATTGTATTCAGTATACTGGGACGACAAGACTAACTTTAAGTAGCTAGGCTTGTCTCAGCGTTTCCCATGTTATACTTGAATAAATATTCAAGAGAAAGGGGGACGTTGGGAGTAAGAACTATATAAGAACTTTTAAGGTAGGGTTTGTAGTTCTATTTATTATCTTTCTCTAAGGGTGGAGGTTGGGAGTTTAATTAGTAGAAATGTTAGAGTGGTTTCATTTCTACTTCAAGATATTAAAGATATCTGCCTACCTACAACTGGTTGTAGACAGTGAAAGTCAGTAGAAGCTGGGACATTGTGGGAGTAGGCATTCAGCTTCGTACCCTTATTTGATTTTTGTACATTTCATCTTCCATGACGACTGACTAGATCAACATTAGCGTTTGGATTTTGCCTGATAGATAGGATATCCCCAATGCATCTGGGTGCTATTGCCACACACACATTATCTGCTATGACAATAAGCTGACAACCTGGACTGATACGGTAATGCGATATAAATACACACACATATATATGTGTGTGTGTGTGTGTGTATCATATGTAGTAATATATATATGTAATTTCTTTGTTTCTAGTATGAAGAAAACGAATACCAGTGGCGCAGCTAAAAGGAAAAAGAAAAGAGAATCAACAAGGTTCTGAAGAAAATTCCGTAATTGTCTTGTTTCTTCCCTGATACCAAT